TGATGAAACAATGCAGCAAATTAAATAAATTATCGGAAATAATTATATATGGTTTACTGTAGATGAAACAACTGACACATGTAGGAGATATATAGTCAACTTGAGTATAGGAGTTTTGAATGAAGATATTGTCACAGAAGGATTTTTAATAAGTTCGGAGGAATTAACAAAAACGAACAGTAATACTATTTCTATTAAACAAGTTTTTTTTTGCCCGAGGTGGTTTCAAATGAATAAAATGTATTTATGCTTTCCGACGCAGCAGCATACATGATTAAAGCTGCATCAAATCTTAAAATGTTTTACTATAATTTCATCTATTGCTTAGCACATGGGCTTAACCGCATAGCTGAAACTATAAGATTGCAGTATCCATTGGTCAATAAATTTAAAAAAAAAGGCAAAAAAATATTTATAAAAGCTCCATTGAGAGTGCAACTTTTTAGGGAAAGATGTCCTGATTAATTTAAATTAAATTAAATTTACCCCCAGAAGCGATTTTAACACGGCGGGGAACTTGGCTAGATGCTGCCTTGTACTGTGCCAATAATTTTAACGAATTTAAAAGCTTGATACTTGAATAGGTACAAAGGTACAAAAAGCAAAGCAATTCAGGAATGTCAAGAACGAAGTTTTAGAAGTACCCGAACTTGCACATAATTTGGCTTTTATCTAAACTCATTTTAAATTTGTAAGTGAAGGCATTCAATTTTTGGGAAAACAGCAGCTGCCGTTAATAGAATCCATAAAGGTTATTAAAAGTTTTGAAGCTGCAGCAAATAGTATTCCAGGATCTATCGGTCAAATAATTAAAGAAAAATTGGTTCAGACTCTTTCAAAGAATACAGGCTTCCAAACATTGCAAAAAGTATCTACTATTTTGAATGGTTCGCCAAATTCCGATTTTAAAAAAGATCCAGCAGTTATACCAAAATTTAAATATGCACCTATAACCAGTGTAGATGTAGAACGAAGTTTTTCTGCATACAAAAACATTTTATCAGACAGGAGACATAATTTTGGAGACTACTAAATTTGGAGAAACATTTAGTTAAATTTTCTTTTAAGCATTGTTAATAGTAAGTATGTAAGTACATATATTGAAAATAAATAGAACGTGTTAAATGTAAAATGATAAATAAAAATAACAACATACATATTATCATTACAACTTGTTTTAATTTTTTTTCAAATGCCTTTTTTAATTTTGTGCTTTTTTTAAATATTTTTATACTTTTTTAAGCACTTTTTTCATTTTTTTGTGCTTTTTGTAAATATTTTCATGCTTTTTTAGGCACTTTTTTCCATTTTTTTGTGCTTTTTTATCCGATCTTAAATTATGACAGTAGGTGAACGCACGATAGTGGACGAGATAAGAACAAAACAACTGCTGTGGTACGGGCATATGCAGAGAATGGAGAATAAAAGACCTCCTATACAAATGCAACAATGGAATCCAAATAAGCGAAGAAAGCGAGGAAGGCCAGGGAAGATCTGGAGACAAGGAATAGACAGCGAAATGAGAACGGAAAATTTAGACATTTAGAACGCGAAAAAACACGTGAAATTATGCAATCCAGAAATTTCGCAAAAAAACACGTTTGCGAGTTCAAAAGTCCAAACTAGTAAATTGACACTTGTTTTGTTGACATTGGTGTCACATTGGTGTTGACATCTAATTGCGATATGTTTTGTTTTGTTCTAATCAACTTTCGCAAGCTTTTAAATAAATAGAAACAAATCGGAAAGTGTGTAAAAATTGTTTTATATAAGTGTTATGTTATATATTTAAAAACAAAGGTTAAAATATGTGATGTCTGGAACGTATTACCAATGTATTCATATGATTTTTGCAGTTAACAATGGGGTCTTTGGAAAAAGCCGTCACATTTTTAACTTTGAATTCAATATGAGAATATTTAGGGGCCACAACAGCCAGCAGATGAATAGTTGAAGGGAAGGAAGTACTTTTCAGAGTTTCAGTTTCGGACGATTCATAAATACTAGTCGAGGATGTCCCTGTGGAAAACTGCTTAAAGCCTAACTTCAACTCGGCATAGTTGTACTTATGTATCGTCCGTCTACATACATTAATTTTTGTTACAATTGTAACTGTGACGTTTCGCTTGTTTACCAACTTCAATAGAGAAAACAGTGGTAGAAGTCTCAACTGTCACTCGCCAACAAGTAATTTGACGTTTCGCAGCGCCCATCTGTAATTGAACTCGCGGGTAACAAAGTTTTCTATAGCTTTTCCTGCGTTTTCTCTTATATTTTGTGGAGTTTTTTCCTTTTTTCCAATTAATTACTGTTAATTGACGGAACATCAAAGTCACTTGAGGTGAAAATTACAAATCATTAAATTGTTTCCTACAGCTTCAGGCGTAGGTTTTTTGAATGCAAATAACTAGAAATATCGGATGAAAAACCATTAGGTGAAACATAAAGCATTGTGTGCTCCACAGGCGTTACGGAGACAATAATGCCCATCAGGCCGAAACCTATCCGTCGGGCTAGTTCGACCTTCAGGGCACTACAGACATATACATACATAAATAGCTATAACAAGTGTTTTTCTGGTTGAAATAGAATCAATGTAGCGTCGTGTAAGACGTAGGTAAATAATAACTCTAAAAGATTCTAGAAGGCCACCTCGAACAGTTCTGTTCCCTAGTAACATAAATCTCATCAGCGTGAAATTACTCAAACCATTGAAGAGTGTTTGATAGTCACCACCCCCAATCTTCCCATTGAATCACATGAATCTTCAAGGCAGGCGTTGTATTGTGACATGACAAGGGCTTTGGAAGGGATCTTGGATACCGAGGGTAAACCTCACTCAAACTCCTCCTAATGCTAGAATCTGGGATGGACATAGTTGGATAAATAAGCACTTAGTAAATGTTGATGCAAAAATGAAAGTTTTCACCCAACTTCAAGCTCAATTTTAAAAATGCATATCTTCTAACAAGGTGCAAATCACAACCAGAAACTTTCACGATCTATAGCAGACATTCCAGTCTAAGTAACCGGATAATTTCAGTCGAATAGCACTAAATCCTGATTTTTGCGAGCTTAGTAGATGTGGATGTAGAAATAAAAGTTTACGCAACTGCAAGCTCACATTTAAAAATGTATCACTTCTACGAAAAAGCAAATCGTAATACGAAATTTTCACATTCGATAGACGAAACATAATTCTGAATCGCCGGGAAATTTCATTCAGATCGCACTTAATTATGATTTTTGAGCTATTTGTAAATGTTGATGCAAAAATGAAAGTGTTAACCCAACTTCAAGCTCAACTTTAAAAATTCATAACTTCGATCAAAAAGCAAACCACAGCCAGAAACTTTCACAATCGGTAGCACACGTTTCATGCTAATTAGCCGGATAATTTCGTAGGAATCGCACTAAATCCTGATTTTTGCGAGCTTAGTAGATGTTGATGAAGAAATAAAAGTTTACGCAAATAATTCTGCATAGTCGGCAAATTTCATTAAGATCGCACTAAATTCTGATTTTTGAGCGCTTAGTAAATGTTGATGCAAAAATGAAAGTTTTCTTCTAACAAAAAGCAAACTGCCGTCAGAAACATTTCTGGATTGATAGCAAAGATTTCAGTCTAAGTAACCGGAAAATTTCAGTCGAATGGCACTAAATTCTGATGTTTGTGACCTTAGTACAGGGGCAGATCCAGCTTTCGAGTCAAGGGGGGGTCAAGTAGTAGAAAGTGCTTTATTGTCCATGAAATTTGAAAAATTATAATTTACATAATAAAAATTTACCCAACTGCAGGCTCAAATTTAAAAATTCATAACTTATGCGACAAAGCAAACCGTAATACAAAATTTTTACATTCCATAGAAGAAACGTCATTCTAAATAATCGGGGAATTTTATTCAGATCGCACTAAATTTTGATTTTTGAACGCTTAGTAAATGTTGATGCAAAAATAGATGATTTCACCCAACTTCAAACTCAACTTTAAAAATGCATAACTTCTAACAAAAAGCAAACTGCAGCCAGAAACTTTCACGATCTGTATCTAAACATTTCAGTCTAAATAACCGGATAATTTCAATCGAATCGGATTAAATTCTGTGTTTGCGAGCTTAGAATTAGCTTACCTAGATGTTGATGAAAGTGAGCACTAATACAATAATTACTATAAATGTAGAGAAACATTTTTTTTTCAGAAAGTTAAAGTTTACTAAGATTAAATTGTGTCCCAAAATTCAGTTTGATCCGGCAAGAAATGTTCATAATAGGTCAAAAATTAAAAGAAAAAAAAAATGAAGTTTAATGAGCTGTAACTCGAAAAATAATCAGATTTCGAATTTTTCTTCCTTGACTTACTGCCATTATTTTAGCATATAGAATCACCCTTAAAAATTTCCAAACGCCTTTTCCGAACACCCTGTATATCAAACACGGTTAGACTTAGATATAGAATATTATACACAATATATTTAGAATATGCAGTATAATTCAAAAATGCAATAATATATAGGGTGTTCCATTTAAAATAAGCAAGTTGATACTTACTTCCGGTATAACCGGAGGTATGGCCATCTTTAAAATACTGTAGATCGGTTGCCCCCAATGACTTTGGCACGCTGTCCAATTTTGAAATTTCTCTTAATTATAGTTTTCCATATATCGATCGCGGTGGTTCCCGGAGGGACACCCTGTAGAAAGACTACATCATATTTACTCCACTTTACGTTATGCGGAGAAATTTTAATCCGCATATTAAATCATATAGAAATATATAAACATTTAAAACGAAACAGTGGTTTAGAAAAATGTCTCCATAATGAAACTGAAAGAACGTGAATAATGAAATGCAAAACCCAGTTCATCACGTTTAGCATCAACGTTAAATAAAGGTTCACCTACCTTTCATTCCCATATCGCGCAAAGTATAAAATTATTTAATATCTTATCTTTATGTAAACATGAAAATGCAAAATCTTGCTGGGTATTTCGAGACCTACCTGAAAATTCTGCAAATTTCCACAGTTGGTACAATTGAAGGAAAAGCTTTCCTCCTTCAGCTTGAAGTACTGTACTGGTTTTTCTTTATTTACACCTCTTCTGCCCATTGTCCGTGCCAGCGCTTCATCTGGACTAGAGAACTTTTCGCAAAATCACTGAAAACTTCCGTACATTCCACCACGTTATAGCTCGCATAAGTGCTATTCAATCAACTTTACGCTGCGCAACTTGTATCAACACTGTCATACTTTCATGTCTTGAAAAACGAAGAATAAGACACGAAGCAGTTGAAGATCGGAATTGGATCCAAGCTACTACATACGTACTGAACCAATGCTGAAGATCTAGTCAGAAAATCATATCGACGTAGGTCGCAGAGCCGGTTCATGCGGGTTTAACCGAAGTTGACCGAAGCCGACAGTCACATTCCATTATTCAGGGCAGTATCAAGTATCAAGCATTAATTACACTGAATTACACTGAGCGAGATTACTAGACAATCATGAGCGACTAAAATTTAGAGCTGGCGAGTGGCGGAGGTGCAAAAAAATCATATTTTTGAAAAAATAAATTTGGTTAGAGTTGTTATGGAGTGAATTCAGATTTTAGAGTCGTGACGACGAAATAGAAAGTATTGTACTGTATATGGGGGGGTTTCCAGACCCTGGGCCCGACTCCCCTTAATTGTTCAAAAAATATTTACACATTGAGTAGAGAGTGTTTGGCCTTGTAATCTTCTAAACGCTAATTTTTCCGGCTACAGAGCGCTCTTGAGGGTGATAACAGTTGCTAGTTTGTATGTAGAGTTGACGACACATGAAAGTAGACGATTAGATGAGGAGGTGCCAAGCAAAACCCCAAAAGTCCGCCAAATTTCGCAAATGCCCAAAAACTATTTTATGATATAATAATTGTGCTTAAAATTTTTTATTTAGTCATTTATGCTTTGACTGAAATATAAGTCTGGCACACGTTATTGAAACCGTAAAGTCATGGAATTAATATAAATTGTACATACTTTCCTGACTGTGTTTCAATTCCAAATCAAAATCAATAGGCTTAAAGTAGCAACAACGCTACACATAGAAACTGATGATGGCGGAAAACACCGAAACGTATTTTACTTGATAAATAGACAATAAATGACTGAAGCCCAGGAATTGATTTTGATTTGGAATTAATATAAATCCCATTACAAGTTTGGACAGGTGGGGGTTTGGAATAATTTCTTCAAACTTGTGGGGTTTTGCTCAAAACACTGCGTGGGCTTGTGGTATTTTGATTAGGTACGTAAGTACCGAACTATATGAAATTTAATAATCAAATTCACTAAAATTGTGTTTAATTTCTTCTTTGTTTTATTTGTATTTCCTCCACTAAGTACATATACAAAAATAGAAAGTTCAAGTTTACAACAAAAAATAAAAAAATAAAGTTATAATATGTATAAGGCCACGTAATCTTCATAAACTGCAACATTAATCATTCTCATACTCTTCTTCATCCTCTGGAACAGTGGGAATATTTTCGCGAATTACTATTTTTGCTTACCATAAAAAGCTTTCATTTTCTTTCATTCATTTGGCCATACAAAATACATAATAGTTCATCGACGTCATTTTTTTAGCAACACTAATTGAATGAACGAGAGCAGTCTTGAAATTGTTTTCCAAATTCCATCCTCTCTTGAGCAGTTGCTTTGTAAGATTTTGCTTAAAGTGAAACAAAATTGGACCTCATGGAAACGTTAGCACGACGCTTTCTTGAACCGTCTTTCTCAATAACAAATAGTTTCTTCTCGCTAATTTAATCGAATTTTCGCAAACAAGTATATACGTATAACTATGGTCGCAGTCATTAATCGTCTGTCGAGCGTTGTTGCCATACCCGCCATAAATTATATACAGGGTGATTTTTTTAAATCTTGAAACGCTTAAATATTTCGGAAACGAGTGATCCGAGGAAAAAATGTTTCAAATAAGAAGTTAATATCTGGGAGGGGGAAGTTTATTCGTGTCAGAAAAACAACGCCTACTTCGACCTTGCAGGCTAGGCAGGGGTCAACTGGAAAATTTCAAATGGTCAACACAACATTTTATTGGAGATTCAAATAGTACGTTAAAAACTAGGAATTATTTGTCTAAAGCATTTTCTTCGATATTGACAGGTGGCGCTTTAATCCATCAATTATCAATTTTTTTGCTTTAGATCTGCTAAACTATCTAACCGTCTACGCAAATCATGGACAAGTACAGTTGGCGTCACATAAAAGTATAGACGATTTCTAAAGGCGTTTTTTTCCCGATTTTGGTAAATCAGGCTTTGTGAGAAACATCAAATAGGTACGATGTATGTCACAAACTTGTTTTAATTTGACATTTTAATTAACCTCTATAACTTGTGCTCTTCGGTTTTCCAAATATCTCAGCTTCTGTTTTTGTTGACCATCCTTCCTCGATTAATGTAATTATTCGAGCTTTTTCAAATACTTTTGAATGTGTCATTTTGATAGTAGCAAAATTTATTTGCCAGTATTATGTCATTTAGACAAAGGTAGGTCGAGGTAGAACGTCAGATTTATACAACTATTTAATCGTCTACTTTTATATAACGCCGAGTGTACATGACAAATGCAACAAGCAAACGTTATGTGTTTTTAAAAAATTTCCGTTAAATCTACGATCGATTCGGCAGCATTGCAATTTTCACCAACCTAATAATTTTAAAGGTGAACATAAATAATCAACATCTCTTTAAATTCGGAAGCATTCGAAAGTTCTTTCGCATTTTATGATTGCTTGAGGTTCTCCAATGCCCAAAACACAACAAAAAAGGTTCGATTTATCACACAAATTTTATGCATAATTGTTTTTAGGTTGGTAGTCAAATTTCGTCACTGATGACTTGAGACCGAAGTTATAGTGTATGGATTTGAGCGGTTTAGTTTGGAACACTAGTTTTTCCAATGATGTTTTACAGGGATTTGTGGGATTTTGCTTTATCTTGAAAACTTTATACAATGCAACTCGATAAGATTAAGGAACAGCCGTTAACTCCAACTTCCAAATTTTGTGACTTGTGGGGTTTTGTTTGGCACCTAATCAAAATAGTATAAATCTGACTTTCACTACTGTATGAATACTCAAACAACGAATCAAGCAACGAATTAGTTCCATTCAATAAAGTACATGTAAAGAAAATAAATGCTGTTCGTCCTGCAAACCTGGGTGATTTCTCATTTGAGGAGCTTATTTTCAAAACGCAATTTCTAAAAGTTAATTTGATTTGCAGAATTACGCTTGCCTAAATCTAGCAAAAAAAATGAAAATAAAAATTCATTTTTGTTGCCAACAGGAACTTTGGTAACGTGACTCTAAAATCCAATGGAAAATTTTGCTAAAAAAAATTGGATTATAGTTAAAAAGGAAATGCTTTTTGAAAGTAAAATTGTATTTTATAGCATTTTGAAAATAAATTTAAGGACTTATTGCTTTTTGAGAAAAAAGCTGAAATATTGTGTTTTTTTATCATCCCGCAATCTTCTTCATTGCAGTCATATTCGATCTCTTCATCGGAAATATTTGCTTCCTCATCGACTGGATTTGTGGAACTGCTATGTTCATTCTCTAACAAGTTTTTGTAGAATACCAGGCGCTGATCATTTTTCCAGTCTTCGTTGTATAAATTTAACAAACTTTCAATATTTTTTAATTTTAAATCCTTTACTTTATGGGTCAACGGTAACGGATATATTTTTACATTTCCCATTTGTACTCCTTTTTTCATAATAGTCATACACAGTTTTGAGATGTTTCGGTAATATTCTTCCTTTTTTACTTTTATTGTTGTATTTTTTGTTTTGCTATTTTCTTCTCTTTTAATGAAAATTATTTTCATTTGCCTAATTCCCATAAGCTTTTTGCAATTAACGTCGCTCATTTTCTTAACATCATAAAGGTTCCTCTGGGTTACTCCAAGCTTTCTTACTGTTCCAACCTCTTCGAACAGCAGTGCCTATGTAATTCTCCATTGTTTCCATTTCCAAAAACTCTTTCGCAGCACATCGTACGTAACAATGAAAACACGAAGTCTTTGCAGAAATTGCGTTTTGATGATTATTGCAGATATTGCGTTAAGAAAAAACAATAAAATTGCTGGGCGTTTTACATGGCAGAAATAGCTATTTGACTAGAAATTTAAGTGGCAATCGAAAGAAATGCTCGCTGCGAGCGGAGCGCTATCTCTATCTCACTAGCAAAATTTTTTGCAGAGATTGCGTTTTGAAAATAAGCTCCTTATTTGCTAAAGGCCGGAAAATTAATGTTAAACAAACATGATAATGGAATTAATCCAGTTTATACCCCCCATTCTCGGAATTTGAGAATAATAACAAACCGCTTTGAACACAAACTTGACGCATACCAACCTATGAGCAGGCAGGCTTCAGGAAAGGTATGAGTACAATAGAACATCTCCACACCGTAAGGATACTGAAGGGAAAAGCAACGAAATATAACATCCCAATATGGGTCCCATTCAGAGACTTTAGAAAGGCCTTCGACACAGTTAAATTTTGGGCAATTATTAGGTCAATGACAAATGCAAGAATAGACCAACGATATGTTAACATCATACAGACACTGAATGACCGCTCAAAAATGAAACTAAGGTTACATGAAGACACTGAGGAAATCCTGATTATCCTTCAGGCGTTAGACAAGGGGACATGGGAAGACGGAGAAATTAAGGGCAGAAAAACTCAGTAACCTAAGATGTTCTAATTGATTGTCATTTTTGCATTGTTATTTTTGCAAAAAAACAGTGAAGAATTAGAACACATGCTTATAGTATTATAAGTAATAACTACAACAAAAAGCAAGAAAAGAAGTCAAATTTATGACAACCCAACGGACAAACATAGAGAGTATAAATGTGCTAGGACAACAAGTAGAGAAAGTGAACTCTTATATCTATCTAGGTCAAGAAATAACATTGGGGAAAACAAATCAATAACTTGAAATTGACCATAAAATACATCTAGGAAGGGGACGGGAAGATGCGACACGCTTTCAACTCCAACCTACCCCTCAAAATAAAAACTAAGGTTTACATGGAATGCATTCTCCCAGTAACAATCTACGGATGTGAAACATGGGTTCTAACAAGGAAAATCCTAAACAAATTAAAGATACACCAAAGATCAATTGAGCAAAAAATGTTAGGAATAAAACGTAAAGATCATAAAACCAATGAGGATAAGAAATAGAACCCAGGTCGACGATATAGCGAGGCGAATAGGTGATCTTAAATGGAACTGGGTCGGACATGTTGCCCGAAATACAATCAACTGGAGCGGAAAAACAACAAGA